CATCCATGCACATCTGGATGCACTACACTAGTGTGCTAAGTGCTGTATTTACCTACAGAACAGGGAATGAATGAACACGTTTCTGCCATAGCATCTGATGTATATCATCAACTAGTTTTAAGAATGATAAGGCTTTTTATCTCAAGTCATGACTTCATTATGACCCATAAGTTCCCAACAAACAGGAAGGCTTCTGACAGTCCAAGTCTTTCAGTTTAGTGGGTTTAGGTTTGGACATTACTGTAAGAACAATAAGGCAGTAGAACAGACTGCCTAGGGAAGCTGTGGACTCGCCATCACTGGGGGAGTTCAAGAAGGAGTGGGATATGCATTGAGCATGGGTGATTTAAATGTAGTTATGCCTATGCTCTCCTATGGGTATTTTCCATACTTCTGGTCTGCGCTGGTTGCCCTAGGGGCTCAGGAAGGAATTTTTCCCCCCTAATATTGCTACACATGAAGGGTTTTTTTTGGTTTCTTCAAAAGCACTGAGTGTTGGCTGCAGCCAAGGCTGGGGATTTTGACTGGGGTGTGTCAATTCTCCTGCTGGGACTTAAACCCAGAGGTTCCTGGGGTTTTACTAGGCTCTTGCCACTCTACTCAGGGTCAAACTGATTACAATATTTGTGGTAACAAAATAATTTTACCCCATTGTCAGGTTGATACAGACGGTGGGGATTTCTGTCTTCCTCTGTAGCAGGGGCGGTGAAGTCCTCCTCTTTGCATTACTTGTGCATATTTTAAAAACCCTTGAAGCAGCAGGACATTGGCCACCATTGTCCCTTTGTTTTGTCTGTGGCAGGCTGGGGTGCTATGCCTTCTGGTCATGTTGACTGTGAAGTTTACTAATAGATTAGACAATGGGTTTGTAATAGGATGAACCTAGTTCTGTGGAGGAGGAAGGACAGGACTAGATGACATCTAGAGGTCTCTTGCAGCCCTACTTTTCTGTGATTCTATGGCCTGAGATTGTCGTCTTGGGTTAGAGGGTGTCCCAGGTAGAAAATCCAGAGGCTAAAGCAGGGTAAAAAATAAAAAACCTAATCCCAATGAAGTCAATGGGAATTTGGGGGGAAGGAGGCAGGGACAGAGTTTCATTCGGTGTATTACACCAAGAAAGTCCAAATAAAGACAGAATTCTAGTGACCCAAGTGAAATGTCGGTGATGCTTTGGCTAAGAATTATGCAAGAACAGATTCAGCAGAAGATGGCCTGTTTGTGCAGATTGCATCCACAACTAAAAATGGCACAGAGCTTTCTTGGAGATGAATGGACTTGGGCTGAACATGAATAGTTCTTGGTAAAAAGGGGAAAGTATTCGGAGACAGAAATATGTTTGGGAGTTTAATGCTAAGTATTTTTTCTGACTAAGCTATGAATCTTGGTTCCCTCTCCCTTAAAAAAAAAAAAGGTACAGGCATCAACTGCGACTTGGAAAGTGCTACAGCAGAAAAGGAATTCTTTGAAGCAAGGGTAAGAGCAGGGAGAGGACAAAGGTGTAACAAAATCTTTTCTGGGGAGGAGGGAGAGCAAGGGCAAACCCAAAATTTGTGCCACAATATGGCTTATCTTTATCTGAAGGGAAAGGAAAAGATTTTAAACAAGCAGCTTTTCCCCCACCCTCCATCCTTTTGTCCTTTTATATTCTCTGCACTTAGACTTTCAAAACGCTGGCAGGAGGCAAGATCATTGTATTTTCTTGCATACAATATGCCCCCCCCCAATAAGATACCTACCCAGTTTATGAAAGGTGGAATGAAGATTAAAAGCTCTTTTCTTGAAAGTACTGGTAGCCAGAAGTAACTGAGTAGCAACCGCTGGGGAGCCCAGCATGCTCACTGTGCTGCTCTCTAGGTGCATCTATAGCGTGCCAGACTGTACAGTTTTTATTGTGCAGCCCTTGCACTGCATGGGTCGTTTCGGACACTATTGCGCAGTCGCAATGATTTACTGAGCAGTAGCATCAGCATCACGGTTCGTGCCTGCCGACACTATAAGCTACATCACCATAGCTCATCACTACAGTGATGTGGCGTCTCATGTAGATGCACCCTCTGTGAAGCACTTCCAGTTACTTCCACTTCTCCCCAACAGAGGCACACGCTACAGAAGCTTATGAGAAACAAGAATAACAATATGCATGTTGTATGCAAGAAAATACAGTAATTCCTATCTTGTCTCTCCTTGCCATTCACAGAACTGTACTGCTAGACGAACCATCATAAGACACAAGTGGTAACAAGCAGTGGTAGGCAATCTGTGGAGCTAAGGCTGGACTGGCTAGCTGAGAAAATCTCTGCATTAGAGTAAATCCTCATAGTATTACTCCTCCCATACATAACAACACAATCCAGCTCTCCATTAACAATTTTAGCAAGGAAAGAACATGAAAATGAGCCTCACCCACATCCAACTCTGGAGTGGATTTTAACAACTTTACCTGTAGCAAGTTATGGTGTTCTTGATGGTTTGGGGGCAACATACCTTGTAGCTGTGTGACAGTTATTGTGCAGTTTTAGAAATAGGTTAGACATGGACTTGTATAGCATGGTTTGGATAAGGATGATCCTACCTTGAACAGGGGTTTACGTGACATGACCTCCTACCAGCCCTATTTTTCTGTGAATCTTCATCATATATTTAAGTGAGATAATCTAAAAACAGACTCTTAAGCCTAACTAACAACCAGTTATTTCCAGGAACTGTATCCTGAGCAAGGACACTCGTTCAGCCTCTGAGAAATGGGAGACATGGGATGTCTAACGGCTTGGAATTTACTCCGAATCGGGAGAATGGGCCTGTTCTTAGCCAGAGGAATGTAAATATTCCTTTAAAGGACTGATTGGCATCTAACCATGCATGAGTCGACTGGTCCAGACCCCAAACCCCATTTCACTGAGTTTTAAATAAAAGAACCAATTTGGATTGTTAACAAAATTCACATTTACTAGGGTGCGTGTTGTTGAACTAAAAGCTGTATCAACAGTGCTTTGCAAGAGGCCAGAAATTCACACAGCAACCTTGTCCTCAACTCTCCTGCTTGCACATGTGTATCGTGAGAAGGCCTTTCATTACACGATCACGTAACAAATTCACACCCCTTTTCCTGTTAAATAATTTGCAACTGTTTGAACCTGAGAGTTATTCTGTTGAAACCAAGTTCAATGCCAGCCAGCCACAAGTGTGTACCATATGAGCAGCTGAAAATATTATTGCAGCAACCGTTACATGACCAGAGTATACTCCCTATCACAGTGCAGCATGTGTCCTGTTTATATACTTAGATGCCTTTGTTTTTGAGATGTTTAGGCAGGTGGTATTGTTATAGCCTGTGAAGCAGATGTGCCCCTCTAACAGATCATAAAATGGAGAGGTTAATAAAGGGATAAGAGGTGTCATGCTAGCAATATCGCTGGTGAGGCACACTCAACAGGAGTCCAAGGTGTAACCATTGTATAAGGAATATTACATGGATTGTGAAGCTTATTAAAATGTTAGAAAGTGTCTCTGTCTCTCTCTCACACCCTGTATTTTCTCCCCCTCTGCTTCCCGTACAGTTACAATAATATTTTGGAAATGATGGACTGTTATAAAATGTCTTTACTGTGCTATTTTAAGGGACAATGCAGTTAGCCTGTTTTTTTGGATTTTTTTAGAGTATTGCAATAATCATTCTGAAGTGCCGTAGTGTTTTGTGTTTTCTCTCTCTCTCTCTCTCTCTCTCTTTAAGGTGGTTAGACGTTATTAGCTCAAGAGGCCAAATCCTGCGGTGCTGTCTAAATCCTAATTCAGGTAAAAATCCCATTTGATAGACTGGAAGCTGAACAACAAAGTCAGTTTATTAAAAGTTCAAGTTTCCTGTCCTGGTTTTGCAGTTTAAGAGGTTGGGTGGGGGGAGCTAATCGATTGAAAATGCTAACAGAGACGAAAGAAAAAGAATCATGCTATAGTAGTGGGGGCAGTGGAAGGAAAGATATTAGAAACCAGATTCTTAGAAATATCTACTGCCATGATCCCAGAGAGCTGTGAACCTAGCCTGGCGCTCCTGGATTTTAAACCGTTTGCCAGTGACTCACATATGACTCCAGTAACATTTTATCTTAACCTTTACCTGCCAGTTTTCCAAACCATTGCACGGGGTGTCAAGATGCACAGTCATTTCAGAGGGGATTAGCAAGGTCCAGCTCATTAAAGTGCTTTAAGATGTTTTCACATAACAAGACCTATAGAAGTACAAGGTACGTTTATAATTAGAAAATGAAAGGGAGAGTGCTATGTTGGGCATTGATATCTTATTCAGAACAGTTCACGTGTAATTTTATTTTATTTACTTAGGGAAAACAGAGATCTGCTAAACAAAGATATAGTAAAAGGAGGAATCTTATAAAAGAGTTATCGTTTGATATACCTGTTAAAGTCCAGACACTATTATACATGGATTTGTGGATAACCGTCTAAAAATGTGCTTACGAAGAAGCAGGATTAAAATAAGAAATAGGACAGGTTTGACCTTCTTAATTCAGAGGTTCTATCATGCAAGTTTAAAACAAGTAAGCTATTCCTAAATCTATTTTATTTTAATCTAGCTATTTACATATTTAATTCAGACTTGAACTATGACCATCTTTCTAGCTGAGTCAGTAAAAACAATACTAAGCTGGCCTCAGCTGGAATTCAGTTTTTGAATAGCTTATATTCTTTGGCTTGATGAATTAGTAGATGCAGATACATGCATATATAACTTAATAACTTTCCAACTGACTCAATAATCCCTGGAAATTTATAACTTACTTGGCTTTCAGCCTTTGTGCAAAAGAAATTGATGGTAAAAATGCAAACATTTAGCTACACTCTAGTTTTAAAGTTTGCCACAATATGTAGGCAATCTTGTTTCCTCTCTGGATTATTATATTTTTCCTCTCGGGGCTTTTTTTTTTTTTTTTTTTTTTTTTTTTTAATAGATTTGATGTGCTTGGGAGTATCAAGTACATAGTGTGTTACATTTAATATCTAAATACAGAAGTTGACAGCAAGCCAGAACAAAGATGACATGATTTGACCGTTGTCCCACTTGCTTGGCTCTGACATGACTTTTCCCTCCTTTGACCAAGCATTAAATGTCAATTGAGAAAAGCCGATACTGCCCACTGCTTCCTTAGGAGCATGTTGGCGGTGTGGTATGTAGAAAATGAGGGCTCCAAAACACGTGCTTCCCTGGTGCTGTCCAATTAGACTGTGCATGTGTAGCAGAATGTGAAGTCATATCTTAGGCATAAATCAAACTCATGGCCTCCGGATCACATGATACCTTGTCCCGACTCCAACCATCAGGAATGCTTCTTGTCAGGAAACATGAAGTTCCCAGAGAAGTCCCAACTGCTATTTGACATAACCTGCGTGCTATAGAAAGGATTCTTTAACCTATCAAGGAAAGATTTTAAAATGTAATATGAAATCTGTGACAACACATCCTTCCTCCCCTCCACCAAAAGAATTTATCTGGCAACTTAGAGAGTCTCTATTAGAACACAGAAATAGGCTTGAAATAGAATAAAAGTACAGAAGTGCTCAATTGCTGTAGTTTGATTTGTCTACTGCTATTAGAACAGGGATATGCAGATTTCATTTGGGATTTCTGAAACTGTTAAACGTGTTTGTGTTGATTTCAATGGGGTTTATAGTAGACTAACGCTGAGATCTTCTGAAGGTCAAAATTCTGCTCCCATTTACTCTTCTGTACTGGGATGCCATGAGCCCCATGACGCTTCAAATTATGATATAGAATTGAAACAGGCAAACTACTGTTCTCTATTTTCTACTTTTTCCAATAATCATATAGGTGTCAATGGAGGCTGCAGGGGGGAAAAAACAAGAGAATTGTTCCCCAAAATATAGGACACTTACATTCATAAGCTTATATATGCATTTCTGATAGCAATCTATTGAAAATTTTATTTTGCATGCATGAAATCTGAACTAACACTTCTGCAGGTCAAGCAAGTCCAGAATATTTCCAGACTTCATACCACACTGAATGTCAACAGCAGCACTACAACTGTAAACTTCTTCAATCCCAGTCCCACTAATGTGGCTTCTATCTGTGTCAAGGAGCTCTGAATGACTACGCAGAAGTCTGTCCTTTAAATAAAAACAGATGTGAAAAAAGAAATAGATAGTTTAAACAGTCAGTGTTTTGATCCGTTAGCCCTCTGAGGATCAGTCACAGGTAGAGCCAACCAAAAAATTCTGGTGCAACAGTTTTCCATTGGAAAATGTTGGTATGACAAAAATCAAAACATTTTACAGGATCATGTCACTCAATATTTTTATAGAAAAAATATTTAAAAATGATGTTTTGATCCTATATATAATATATAAGTCAAGACACAACATTTCAGAGTTGTCAAAACATAGCATTTGAGACTATTCTGTTTCATAGGAAATTACAAGATTTTGATTGATTTTTTGTTCCAATTAAGAATGAACCCAAATTTCAGAATCTTAAAATTTCTCTAGGGGTGGCAATACTGTTTTCTGGCCAGCTACAGTCAGAGAGTATAATAAGCTACACTGAAGAAAAGTTGAGCGAGGTATGGAAAATACCTCTTTCCATGTCAAATTAATGAAGATACAGCTTGGAATTTTCAAAGGCAATCAAAGATGTTAGGAAATGATTGCCTTTGAAATGTCAGGGGAATTGGGTAGCTAACTTTTTTTTAGGTTTTTCTGAATATCCTACCCACAAAGAATGAATTAACAAATAAAGATATTTCAGTGGTTGGGAGACTGTCACTGTATACAATAGATTAATTAATTTTTGACACTACAGTTATGGGAAGATTTTAACAACATTAAATGGTCTGATTCAATGCCAAAATGCTATACAGTTCTCAAGCTTAAATATTGTCTGACATTCCAGCTTCATTAATTTAATTGGTGTGCAAACAAATGGAAGTAAAATAATGTTGTATTAGTTGAATGACAGGATCAATTCAGAACTTCAACTTCAAGTCTTTCTGGGCTGGAGCCACAGGAACTTTAGCAGAAAGGAAGGGGAAGGCGGGGGCAGGGGAGGAGACAGTAAAAATGGCATATAGTTTTTATTCTTATTCCTCCTATTTAAAATGTCTTTGGTATTATTTCTGCCTGCCTGTGTGTTTTACTTTCAGCTTCCCTACTCAGCTAGTAGCCTTCATTACAGTTCCTAAAACAAATGAAACAATCGCTATGATAGACATGCTGAAAATTGTATAAACTACATCTGAGTC